GAGCACTTCGAACAACTTCTTCAAGTTTCGACGGCCAACCAGCCATCAACATCTCGGCATGATCCGCCTAGGGTGCGGCGCATCACTCGCGTCAATTCCGAGGCCCCATCACTGCAGGAGATTGAAGCAGCTATCCGAAGCATGAAATCCAACAAGGCTCCAGGGGTCGATCGCATATCAGCAGAGATGATCAAAGCAGACCCCATGCTATCCGCACAAATGTTGCATCAACTATTCTGTAATATCTGGGACACCGCGACTTTACCGGTCGACTGGATGCAGGGCATCTTAGTGAAGGTCCCAAAGAAGGGGGATCTGACTGTGTGCGACAATTGGCGAGGCATCATGTTACTGTGTATTGTTCTCAAAGTTCTTATCCTGAATCGGATACAGGAGAAGATCGACACGACTCTCCGACGACAGCAGGCAGGATTCCGTGCCGGAAGATCTTGTGTGGACCATATTGTCACGCTCCGCATCATCCTGGAGCAGGTCAATGAATTTCAAGAGTCCCTTTATTTGGTATTCATTGACTACGAAAAAGCTTTCGACCGTCTTAATCACGAGAATCTGTGGGGCGCCCTGAGACGCAAAGGAGTCCCGGATAAAATCGTCAACCTCATCGAAGCGCAGTATGAGGCTTTCACGTGCAGAGTTCTGCATAACGGAGCCTTGTCCGACCCTATCCGGGTAGTCGCTGGTGTGAGACAAGGATGTATACTATCACCGCTACTGTTTCTCATCGTAATCGACGAGATCATGGTAGGTGCAATTGACCGTGGGCTGCTTTGGCAGCCTATCACCATGAAGCATCTCAACGACTTCGATTTGGCTGATGATGTTGCTCTACTAGCACAACGGCGCTCTGATATGCAGAGTAAGCTCAATGACCTAGCCGAAGCTCCTCTGCGGCGGGTCTCACCATCAACGTCAACAAGACCAAATCGTTGGATATCAACACGGGCAACCCTTCCAACTTTACGGTAGCGGGGCAAGCAGTGGAGAAGGTCGAAAGTTTCCAATATCTTGGCAGCCAAATAGCGTCGGACGGCGGGACCAAGAGCGACATAGGTGCACGAATCAAGAAGGCTAGGGCTGCCTTTGCGAGTTTACGAAACGTATGGAGATCCAACTAGATAAGTCAACGCACCAAAATCCGAATTTTCAACTCGAACGTGAAATCTGTGTTGTTATACGCCAGCGAGACGTGGTGTGTATCAGCGGAGAACACTCAAAAGCTGCAGGTCTTCATCAACCGATGCCTGCGGTATATAATTCGTGTCTGGTGGCCTCACAACTGGATCTCGAATGCCGAGCTCCATCGTCGATGTCATCAGAAGCCGATAGCAACAGAAATTCGAGAGCGAAAGTGGAGGTGGGTCGGCCACACACTTCGACGGGGCGGAAACGAAATCTACAAGCAAGCGCTGGGTTGGAATCCGGCAGGACATCGCAGCAGAGGCAGACCCAGGGGCTCATGGCGGCGGAGTCTCAATAAGGAAATTAAGCAAGTCGATAGGAATCTGACCTGGGCCCAGGTCAAGGCAAAAGCGAGCAGCCGCCCAGGATGGAAGTCTTTCACGTTGGCCCTTTGCACCGCTGGTGGTGCACAGGACCCTTAAGTAAAGTAAGTAAGAAAAGAAGGTAAAGTGTATGTATAACACATAAAACCTGTCAATTTAGCTTTCAGAGGGTCACAATAGTGATTAGCTGTAACGATGAGCAACGCGATGAGCGAGCAATCAGCGATCATAAAATAGCTAGTTGTGACCTTCTGAAAGCAAAATTGACAAATTTTATATGCCATACACAAACTTTACCACCTCTTCTTGCTTCTTACAAATAAAAATTATCATTTTAGTTTGATAATTACGAAACCTAGCATTTTAGCTGTAATGAGCAATTGCAAGCCTGTCCCTGACACAGATTTCAAAATCGAATTCCATCCGGTATCGCCGGACGGTGCTTATTCAATCATTCAATCATTCAATGTGTGGTGGTGTCCGGCCAGTCGTCATCAGCAGCGGCAGCAGCAGCATCAGTGCTTTCGGCGCGTGGCTAGTCGCCGAATATTGATACCGAGCACTAAATCCTACGTCAAATTTACGGTCGTGTCTTGGCTACAACCTCTTACTTTTTTATTACTGGAAGAATAAAATTAAAAAAAAATAGTTCAATCTAAGGAATAAAAAATTGGGCATATTCTGCGCGGCGTGTGAGGTGAGGTGACAGTGAAGTGATGGTGAAGTGATAATTGTCACCTCGGGTGAGGTGACTCTCCATTTGATTTGCACATAGAGTAACCTCACCCGAGGTGACAATTGTCACTTCACAAGTGACAGTGTGTCACTTCACGTTACACGCCGCGCAAAATAGGCCAAAATATGTTGATGGCAAATTATTTCTCTATCGACTGAATTTCTTAAAGAAAAGTAACTTTTTTTGCAGCTCCCGATCGTTGGATATTTTTGACAGCTCTCTTTGGATTTTTTTGACAACCATTTCTAGTTAGTCAGCACCACTCAAGGACCACCCGATATTTAGGTCAATCGTTGCGTATACTATTTCACAAGCGCTAATGAGCTAGCTTCTAGCAAAAAAGCTCACTAGCATACTGTAAACATGGCATCAGCGTCGACCAGCATGAGATTTCAGGAGCCACATTCAGAGGTCATTCGAAACAAATCCAAAAGCCTTGTACTGAACACATCAGCCATGTGGGAGTTGCCAAAAGAACTTATGGAACGAGTCCAAACCAGATTTCTCAATAACTTTTTCAAAGGGACGTATCAGCTTTTGTAAACAATGCATTTGATCGTCGATTTGTCGTAGCTGGTAGCTCGCACATGCTTACTAACACCACTAGCTGCAAGGGGAAAATCTCCCCTATCTGATAGTAGTATTAGCATGCGTGGGCGAGCTACCAGCTACGCCAAATCGACGATCAAATGCATTGTTTACAAAAGCTGATACGTCCCTTTGAAAAAGTAATCGAGATTTGTCCCATAAACCTACCGGCCTTGTCTTGGACATGTATTGAGGTCTTTTGAATCAACATCTTGAAAGACCGTTCAGAAGCTATTTGTCACTCTAGTCTAGTTTCCGTTTCATAATCTCTTTGTTTCTATTGTTGCAATTCCTTCTGCTCTGCTGCACAAGACTTTTCAAACATCGTTTCTTTCTATCCATTGTTGGCATTGTTCGGATTGTTCCAGTGCAGTCAGCCGCGATGGCGCACCTCGTCATTTTTCTCATTTGTTTCATATAATTTTATTCCTTATATAGTTTTTTTTTTGTTTTTAATAATTATATATAATATTATTTCATTACTTTTTAAACACTTTAGTTTTACTAACATTTTATTTTTCATTATTATTTTGTTTTTTTTTTAGTATTTTCTCATTCGTGTTTTTCTCTGTTTCTTCTGCTTCTGCTCCTTATTCTTCTTTCTTAGATTCCTTGCAAGTGTGTTTTTTTTTTTACTATGTTCACCATTGTTTTCACTTGATCTATTTCGGCGTTTTTTTTTTCGCTTCTCCTCCTCGGTATTGTTTCTTCCTATTTTATTTTTTTTTTTCATCATCGTCTTCCATTTCACCCACCATTCTCTATCTCTCTCTGTCTGTTTTTTTGTTTGTTTGTTTTGTTTACCTGTTATCGTCTCTCGCATCTTTCGGCGTTTTATCTGTGAGTCTCTCATTTCGGGTGTGTGTTTGTTTGTATGTGTGTGTGTGTTTTTATTTCTTTTTCAGTTTCCGTTTTTTCCTCGTCCACTTCTTGTTTTTTTTTGTCGGTGTAGGGGGTGTCTGTTTGTTTTTTTTTGTTTTTGAGATACGTAATACAAAAGAATAATAATTTATTATTTTACTTTGCCTTTTCTCATTCGTTTCGCTCGCTCGCTCGCGCGCGTCGGATTACGAATGCCTTCTGCGCAAAAATCGCATTTCTTCCCCTCTCCTAGTTTTATTTGTTTTTGCCTTTTTTGTTTACTTGCTTTCCACCACACACAACAGCTGCTGATGAATGAGTTTTGCGTTTTCAATTCTGGTTTCTGCTTTGTTGCACACACTTGTATCCTCTTTCGTTTTAATTTCTTTGCCGAAAAATGACCTGCGTGTTTCCTATGTTTATGTTGCTTTGTTTGTTTTGGTTTTTTCTCTCTTGTGTTCTGTAAGAAAGCCGTTTATACAACAAAACCGTCGGATATTGGCTTCATTCCACCTAATCGTGTTTTTCCTAAGGATTCCGATTTCTCTCACGCTTGCTCTCTTTCAATCATGTAATCACGCGAACACACGCACACTGTAGTAGATGTATTCCTGTGTGAAACAAAATTCGTCAACAATAGCTCATTGTTCTCCTCTCGAAACAAGCGGGTGTTGAGGGTAAGTAGTGAAACAATAGATAGAGGAAAATGAGAAGAAAAGAAAAGAGAATCGATTCGGTTGAGCAATTTGAGGTTAGATTGCACATTCACTAATATTCAGCGTTTCCAGGGTGACGGGAGATAAGTAGAAATTTGACAATAAGCAAAGTTACCCTTAAAAATTATCGCAAAACTGGATTGAATCATATTCGCAAATCCACATATGCGCGCTCATTAAAGTAAATCGTTTTATTTTATTTTATTCAGATGGGTTGTGATTTCCCCGTTCCTTGTCTATCAATGTGTGAGTGTGTGTGTGTGTGTGTGTTGATCTGAGACTTGATTCCTCTCTTTCTCTCTCACTGCTTTTTGACTTTGCTTCGACTTCGACTAGGGTTGCGTGTTTGTGGATGTGTGTTTGTGTAGTTCTACGATTTGTTTGGATTTCTCTGGATTCTCTGTTTTGTTTTGCACGCCAGGTTAGTTTCCTTTCACTGCTTTTTTTTTTCATCATTTTCTCATTTTTTGTTAAGTAGGCTAATCCTGGTTTTTACTTTATTTCAGGACTCTTTTTTTTTTTTTGTTTTCTCTAGATAGTTTTGAAGCACAGTTCTTTTTTTTTAATTGTTTAGCAATAGTTGCGGCATTCTAGTTTTTTTTTCTTCTTCTGTTTCTCTTACTTCCACAGGTGATTTATAGCGTTTTCTTTGTTTATTTTTCAATCACACTAACACAAAGTGTTTGTTTTTTTCCTAAGTATTTTTTTTTTGTTTTCTTTGTTCGCCTAACACTAAAAAACATAGCGCTCCTGCAAATGCGCTCGCACACGTACGCTCGCACGCACGCACCCACACATAGCCGCAACAAAGTTTGATTGTGTAACTGTCACTCTGCCTCTCGCGCTCTCGCACTCACACATACTAATTTGATACATTTACATGTCTAAATATGTTTACTTGATGTATATTTATAGAACAAAGCAGGCGCGCGCGCGTAAAAATGAAACGAAAATAGTTTGCTCGTTTTTCTTCTTCTTATTTTTGTTTGCTTCTTTTTTTTCCACTAGCTCAGAATGGGACATTTGTTTGCGTGTGTAAGTGTGAAGAATGGAGGGAAACTCAGCTTCCGAACAACAGTGTTTAATGACTGAGTGTTTGTGAATGTATGTTTTCTGTGTAGATGTGTTTGTGGGTGTGAGTGTTGCTCTATTTTACTCATACTAATCCGAGAACACTGCTAAGACTTGTTTTTCTTGGTTTTTGTTTGTTCTAATTTCGCACTCATGCCCATAACTCACTCGCACCACTCACCACTACTACCTCTTTATCGTGTATAGCAATAATAATAGTAATAATAATGATAATCATAATTTTAATATAACTACAACAAATACATTTCTTTCTTCTTCTGTTTTCTCTGCATGTAAGTGTGTGTGTGTGTTTTACTTTTATTTTAATTTTTTCCTTTACCGATTAATCAGAATCTGAAGTCACGCACACGCGTGCATTATTTGCCCACCACTTGTTTCTGTTGTTTAATCACACTCGCCATCTCAGCCGTCCGTTTTTGTATGTCAGTGTGTGTGTGTGTGTGAGTGAGTGAATGTCTCTGTTGAATGTAGGTTACTATGGTAATGAATTTCTCGCTCGGTTGCTCGCTCGCTTGCACATTTGCTCTCACCACGCACACCTGGAAAAAAAAGTATATGTGTGTGTGTGTTTCTCTTTGTTGCTGTGTGTAATTTGCATGTATACATGTGTCAGTGTGTTTCTATTAAGGTTACAACTACTATTCCGCGCGATTATTATATTTGTATTTTTGTTTAGCATTTATCTTCCCACTTTGTCCTGCTTTGTTTCGGTTGGTAGTAGTACTCTAGGGTTAGCTTGTTTGTTTGTTTTGTGAATGCAAAACTACTGTTCTCTGTGGATTTGTTTCAATTTGTTAGTGTTGCTCTGCCTACCGAATGGTCGAATGTGTGTGTGTGTGTAAGGGCATGTGTTTATGTGTTGGAGATAGTAATCAAATCTAGACGCTAAAGCAGATGTCAAAACACAAAAGATGGCGGTGACTTTTCGTTGTACATAGTCACTTTTGACAGATCAGTGAGAATTGAAACAATTACTTTTGTAACGTAAACAAACCGCAGTGAACTGTCCAACGTGACCGTACCAGTGAATACAAAAGTGACATCCGCGGAGATGATTGTGGCGACAATCGTTCGATAAATAAAGAGAACGGAATTTTGCAATTTGTTGAATTGGGAATGTGGATGGCTTTATATTCAATGAAGAAGATTAGGTTTGCACGAGAATTGGATTTCTGCTAGCTACCGGTTTGAGGGCACACCATTTTGACGTTTAGCAGGGGTTACCCAGAGACCAAATGAACTGCCAAATTCAGTCTAGAGGCCTTATAGAATAAGTCCACATAAATCTAGAAGGCTTGAGGCTTGAGGGAATAAGTCAGGAGGCCTCATGGGACTAGTCGTGGATCTCTTATTAGAGAAGTTCAGAGGTCGGATGGGATACATCTAGAGACATTCCCCCTTATTCTGCGAGTCACGTGACTCTCTCTCACCGGTGAGGTGACAATTGTCACCTCGTGTGAGGTGACTCTCCATGCAAATCAAATGGAGAGTCACCTCACACGAGGTGACTATTGTCACCTCACAGGTCAGAGAGAGTCACGTGACTCGCAGAATAGGGGGGATTATGGGACAAGTCCAGAAGAATTGTGAGTCCATTCTAGATGCCTAATGTTTAAAGTCCAGATACCTTATGGGGCAACTCCAGGAGACTTTGGAGGACTTGCGAAACAAATCTTGAGGTCCTTTGGAACAAGTTCAGATATCTTGTGAGGCTGGTCCCAAGGCGGCAGATTGAGACATGTTTAGAGGGTTTGTAGAACAATTCTAGCAGCCATATGAAACAAATGCAGAGGACTTGTCTAGAGGCCTTATGGAGTAAATTTAGCGGCCTTGTGAAACAAATCATGCGACCTTATGGACCTATGGAAGTCAGGCCCAAAGGCCCTATGTGCCAAATTCAGAAGCCTTGTGAACTAATCTAGAGGCTTTATGAGACAAATTCGACGGCCTCTTAGGACTAGTCTAAAGGCCTTATAGGATGAGTCCACACCAGAATTGTCCCATAAATCTTGAAAGCTTGTGGGAATAGATCCAGCGGCTTTGTGGGACTGCTAAAGTGGGCTTCATGGTCCAACCGGTGGAAATTTTCATTGTAAGTCTTTGCAACCTCTGGTTGAAGACGGTGTTGTCAATTGTCTCAGGAACCCGATGGAACATGTCCAGAAGTCTTGTTAGTCTATTCTAGATACCTAATAATGCAAGTCCGGAGACCTTATGAGGCAAGTCCAGAAGACTTTGGAGAACCTGCTTAGCAAATCTAGAGGCCTTGTGAGGCTAGTCTCTAGATAGAGTGCGACAAGTTTAGAGGCCTCATGGAACTGGAGACCGTGCGAAGTAAATTCAGCGGAATTCCGAAACGGCGTGTGAGGTGACAGTGAAGTGATGGTGAAGTGACAATTGTCACCTCGAGGGTGAGGTGAGTCTCCATGCAAATGAAATGGAAAGTTACCTCACCCGAGGTTACATTTGTCACTTCACTAGTGACAACGAGTCACCTTACCTCACACGCCGCGCAGAATAGGCTTTAAAGTGTCATGCAAATCGGAGAAGGTCGAGTCTGAAATTCAATTATTATTTTGCTATTTGGTGATGTAAGTCCAGAGCCCTTATAAAACTGGTCTAGAAATCTTACGGACTAGGACACACCCAAAGGTCTCGTGAGTCAAACACACAGCGATCTTGAGGGGCAGTTCTGGAAGCATTGTGGTACGCAGTTAGTAGTCTGGACTCACTACTTCTACGTATCACGAGATGCTCGCTGTGGCTTGAAATCAACACGCAATCAAAGCCCATGGTCACCAGTCCCTTGGTTTTGCAGGCAATCACTGACGAAGTGCTTCAGTGTTGAATTTCTGCGTACAGCAATCTCTGAAATCATTCAAATTATACTGGACCTGGGGTGGGTTCTGATTTGAGCGGTATGACAGAGCTTGAAGTCCTGGCAGCGAACTTTCGTAATTCCAGATCGACCACCCCGATGCCGATCCTCTCTCTCTGGGGCTTCGACCCCATTCCGAGAACCGAAGCATGTGGTTAGCGTATTTACCCTTCTGTAGTTGGGCCACGGCTATCTGTAACCTGGCAAGGTTGTATCTCATCTGTAATTCGTGTTGAGGGCTTTGGCTCTGCATGCACAGAGTGACAAAAGTGAATCTTCCACCTCAGAATTCCACCAGAAATGACATCCGGAAGCCCGAAATCACAAGGGTACATCACTTTAGCAAACCGTTGCAGCTCTCGGTGTAAATATGAATATTTTCGGAGTGCTCAATGATTCGAAATTGGAGGCAAATTCACAGGCCATACGTCATCAATCAATAGCCAACATATTCCTTTTTAACACTCCGAACACGATACCTCCGGTTAAATGTGTAACGGCAAACTTGCAAGGTTTGAAAAATCATAGCTCAGCCATTTATTGACGAATTTCCAATCTATTGGCGCCATTTAAAACCACATACTTTAAAGATTTATTTGGTTTCAATAGATTTAAAATCTATCGATAAATTGCTGAGCAATGATTTCTCAAACATTGCCAATTTACCGTTACACATTTTACAGGAGGCATCGTGTTCGGAATGTTACTATATATTATGGTGATTTGGAAGGTCCTGCTAGTCTCGCAATCGTAGCTCACTTTAAACTATATTCTAGAGATTTTTAGCCGTAGGCTAGTTCATCTCTGCATTTGACAACAAACAACATCAAATAACCAAAGGGTACTCTTTTTTCCTCACTACGACGGCTTTAAAAATAAGCGCTTTCTGTGTGCAAAGCCGAAATCCCGTTTAAGCAAAACGAATGGAAAAAACTGCTACTACCACTACTACCACTACATGCTGTTTTGTGTTTGCTTTGTTCGAGTGTGTGGGTGCTGTTTTGGTTGCTGTTGTTGTCGTTGGACCTCACGATTCCACCATCCATCGTTAATTTTTTTTTTAAAGTGACCTAAAATACCCTAGTGTTTAAATCCATTCTATCATTTTCCTATTTTAGTTCTCTTCTTCCAGCGACTCCCGGTGGATGTGTGCATCGAGAAGATGAGAAAACTTTCATTAATTTACTACAGCTTTGTTGACACTTCGGTTACTATTGAGTATAATGCGTCGTCGTCGATTTGGTTTGCTTTTTCTTTTATTTGTGTGAGAATGTGTGAGTGTGAGTGAGTGTGTGTGAATTTGAGAATTCGGCGGTGAAAGGGGAATATTTTCTGCTGCTTCCTTCTTCCTCCAATGATTCGCAAGACAGTGAAAAGATGGCGCTTTTGGCTGGTTCTACTGCTTCTTTTTCTTTTATCCGTTGTAAATTCCGCGCAAAGTGGGTTTCTGCCATTCTTGTTGTGTTTTCTAATTGTGTTTGTGTTAAAACTTTTTTTCTTCTTCATCTTCTCGTTATTGATAGACAGCTTGCATTGAAATTGCCACCCGCGGCGCGCTTTCGCTAGTTGTTCTATTTCATTCTATAAAAGGATTGTTTTATTATTTTTCTGTTTTCTTTTTGTTTTTTTTTTTGCTTCGTTAGCGTACAATTGATTAAAGTTTGTCTGGTTGTCTTATACTTCTCCTTTATTTTAACTTATGACATTTTTTTATGTTGCTTCACTAAGGATGTGTGTGTTTGTTAGTATGTTCCATTCCCTTCGTTTTTCTCCCTTAAACTGCTTCGACCTGCTTTGAGGGATTCAGCCAACAGCTTGTTCCAACGTGTTCAACAGAAAAAGGGGATCTTGTGTACTAGCCTAACCGATGCGTTTGAGTGAGTGTGTGTGTATGTATGTATGTATGTGTGTGTGAATGTGCCGCCTCCAAAGTGCGCGTGTGAGTGTGTATGATGTGTGTGTGTGTGAGAGAATGTGTCTGACCAATGAATGAGTTGTGCAAGAACGAAAAGGGAGGGGGCAGGCGGGGTCTGGCAGCTATTCTGCTGCATCTTCCAGTAGGTGACACACACCGGGGTAGTGAGGCAGGGAAGGCAGGGCGGAGCGGGCCATGGGGGGCATTTGTAGTATGGTCTTGTGGTTTTGTTAGGAAAGGGGACTTTAAAAGTAATATTATTCAGTACATCACTTGCTTAGCGGCGCTGCGGCGGTATTGTTGGTGGCGGCATTGGGAGTCGTGGCGGAGGCTGACGCAGGCTGGTGACTGGTAATCAAGCCCGGGGGCGGTGGTTGCGACGAGGCTCCGCCGGCCCCGGCCAAATTGCTAGCGGATGTAACGGACGACGGCGACGAGGACGACGATGTGGATGTGGCGGATGATAGCGCGTTGGGATTTAGCTGCGACCCGGAACCCGCCGTTAGGGAGGAACCGCCGGGGCCGTCTGCTATCACTCCGCCGGCATCGGGTCGGCGGGCGCTCTCGAGCTCGTGCAGCCGTTTCCACAGCTCTTCCCGTTCTCGTTCCCGTTTCTTCTCTCTGCGTGGCGGTGGGTGACGGTTGTGGAAGTGAAAAGAAATGAAAGGAAATGAATTAGTAGAGTTGAGACCATTAGTGTAAGCTGCTTCAGGAGAGCTTACGGCTTCCGAATGGACTGGTTTTGGATACCTATGTAAGTGTGTAATTGCACTAGAATGAGCCAAATTAGGAAAGGCCACTCCAGGGGACTGGTCTGGCTGGAGAATTCGAGGACAGACCTAGAGAACCTCACGAGACAGATTTACACAACCTCAACTCAATGGTAACTTTTCCGGGAGACATTTTAGGGAAAAATTCAGATAATTTTAAGTTTAGCTCCATAGGTAAAATTTAGAGAGCTAGGCTTTGAAGTTCCCCAGAGAATATTGTCGAATCATTTTTTAGACTTCTTGATAGAGCTGGAATTAGGGCGTAACAGTTTTTGTAAAAAATGACTTGTCTCTATGATTTCTCGAATTTCAAGGCACACCCACGCAAACCAAGATAACCTACGGGAAGGGGAAGTCTTCCCCTATCAGATGGTGACGTTGATTTAAGTGAGCGAGCCTTGGCTTTCTAGATATCATCGAGAGATGACATTGTTTACAAAAGTTGTTACGGCCTAATTCCAGCTCTATCTAGACTTGTGTCTTCCACAGAGCTGATCCAAAAGCCGTCTGTGGACAGTTATCATAGCTCCATTAAACCTAAATGGCAGGCTTAAAAAACTTCCAGAGCGGGCTCAAAGGATTTTCTGGAAAACACTTCGCAGCATGTTCCGGAGTTTAACGTACTCGAAGGGTCTTTAATCTATATATCTATATATATAAAAATTAATTTCTGTCTGTCTGTCTGTCTGTCTGTCTGTCTGTCTGTCTGTCTGTCTGTCTGTCTGTCTGTCTGTCTGTCTGTCTGTCTGTCTGTCTGTCTGTCTGTCTGTCTGTCTGTCTGTCTGTCTGTCTGTCTGTCTGTCTGTCTGTCTGTCTGTCTGTCTGTCTGTCTGTCTGTCTGTCTGTCTGTCTGTCTGTCTGTCTGTCTGTCTGTCTGTCTGTCTGTCTGTCTGTCTGTCTGTCTGTCTGTCTGTCTGTCTGTCTGTCTGTCTGTCTGTCTGTCTGTCTGTCTGTCTGTCTGTCTGTCTGTCTGTCTGTCTGTCTGTCTGTCTGTCTGTCTGTCTGTCTGTCTGTCTGTCTGTCTGTCTGTCTGTCTGTCTGTCTGTCTGTCTGTCTGTCTGTCTGTCTGTCTGTCTGTCTGTCTGTCTGTCTGTCTGTCTGTCTGTCTGTCTGTCTGTCTGTCTGTCTGTCTGTCTGTCTGTCTGTCTGTCTGTCTGTCTGTCTGTCTGTCTGTCTGTCTGTCTGTCTGTCTGTCTGTCTGTCTGTCTGTCTGTCTGTCTGTCTGTCTGTCTGTCTGTCTGTCTGTCTGTCTGTCTGTCTGTCTGTCTGTCTGTCTGTCTGTCTGTCTGTCTGTCTGTCTGTCTGTCTGTCTGTCTGTCTGTCTGTCTGTCTGTCTGTCTGTCTGTCTGTCTGTCTGTCTGTCTGTCTGTCTGTCTGTCTGTCTGTCTGTCTGTCTGTCTGTCTGTCTGTCTGTCTGTCTGTCTGTCTGTCTGTCTGTCTGTCTGTCTGTCTGTCTGTCTGTCTGTCTGTCTGTCTGTCTGTCTGTCTGTCTGTCTGTCTGTCTGTCTGTCTGTCTGTCTGTCTGTCTGTCTGTCTGTCTGTCTGTCTGTCTGTCTGTCTGTCTGTCTGTCTGTCTGTCTGTCTGTCTGTCTGTCTGTCTGTCTGTCTGTCTGTCTGTCTGTCTGTCTGTCTGTCTGTCTGTCTGTCTGTCTGTCTGTCTGTCTGTCTGTCTGTCTGTCTGTCTGTCTGTCTGTCTGTCTGTCTGTCTGTCTGTCTGTCTGTCTGTCTGTCTGTCTGTCTGTCTGTCTGTCTGTCTGTCTGTCTGTCTGTCTGTCTGTCTGTCTGTCTGTCTGTCTGTCTGTCTGTCTGTCTGTCTGTCTGTCTGTCTGTCTGTCTGTCTGTCTGTCTGTCTGTCTGTCTGTCTGTCTGTCTGTCTGTCTGTCTGTCTGTCTGTCTGTCTGTCTGTCTGTCTGTCTGTCTGTCTGTCTGTCTGTCTGTCTGTCTGTCTGTCTGTCTGTCTGTCTGTCTGTCTGTCTGTCTGTCTGTCTGTCTGTCTGTCTGTCTGTCTGTCTGTCTGTCTGTCTGTCTGTCTGTCTGTCTGTCTGTCTGTCTGTCTGTCTGTCTGTCTGTCTGTCTGTCTGTCTGTCTGTCTGTCTGTCTGTCTGTCTGTCTGTCTGTCTGTCTGTCTGTCTGTCTGTCTGTCTGTCTGTCTGTCTGTCTGTCTGTCTGTCTGTCTGTCTGTCTGTCTGTCTGTCTGTCTGTCTGTCTGTCTGTCTGTCTGTCTGTCTGTCTGTCTGTCTGTCTGTCTGTCTGTCTGTCTGTCTGTCTGTCTGTCTGTCTGTCTGTCTGTCTGTCTGTCTGTCTGTCTGTCTGTCTGTCTGTCTGTCTGTCTGTCTGTCTGTCTGTCTGTCTGTCTGTCTGTCTGTCTGTCTGTCTGTCTGTCTGTCTGTCTGTCTGTCTGTCTGTCTGTCTGTCTGTCTGTCTGTCTGTCTGTCTGTCTGTCTGTCTGTCTGTCTGTCTGTCTGTCTGTCTGTCTGTCTGTCTGTCTGTCTGTCTGTCTGTCTGTCTGTCTGTCTGTCTGTCTGTCTGTCTGTCTGTCTGTCTGTCTGTCTGTCTGTCTGTCTGTCTGTCTGTCTGTCTGTCTGTCTGTCTGTCTGTCTGTCTGTCTGTCTGTCTGTCTGTCTGTCTGTCTGTCTGTCTGTCTGTCTGTCTGTCTGTCTGTCTGTCTGTCTGTCTGTCTGTCTGTCTGTCTGTCTGTCTGTCTGTCTGTCTGTCTGTCTGTCTGTCTGTCTGTCTGTCTGTCTGTCTGTCTGTCTGTCTGTCTGTCTGTCTGTCTGTCTGTCTGTCTGTCTGTCTGTCTGTCTGTCTGTCTGTCTGTCTGTCTGTCTGTCTGTCTGTCTGTCTGTCTGTCTGTCTGTCTGTCTGTCTGTCTGTCTGTCTGTCTGTCTGTCTGTCTGTCTGTCTGTCTGTCTGTCTGTCTGTCTGTCTGTCTGTCTGTCTGTCTGTCTGTCTGTCTGTCTGTCTGTCTGTCTGTCTGTCTGTCTGTCTGTCTGTCTGTCTGTCTGTCTGTCTGTCTGTCTGTCTGTCTGTCTGTCTGTCTGTCTGTCTGTCTGTCTGTCTGTCTGTCTGTCTGTCTGTCTGTCTGTCTGTCTGTCTGTCTGTCTGTCTGTCTGTCTGTCTGTCTGTCTGTCTGTCTGTCTGTCTGTCTGTCTGTCTGTCTGTCTGTCTGTCTGTCTGTCTGTCTGTCTGTCTGTCTGTCTGTCTGTCTGTCTGTCTGTCTGTCTGTCTGTCTGTCTGTCTGTCTGTCTGTCTGTCTGTCTGTCTGTCTGTCTGTCTGTCTGTCTGTCTGTCTGTCTGTCTGTCTGTCTGTCTGTCTGTCTGTCTGTCTGTCTGTCTGTCTGTCTGTCTGTCTGTCTGTCTGTCTGTCTGTCTGTCTGTCTGTCTGTCTGTCTGTCTGTCTGTCTGTCTGTCTGTCTGTCTGTCTGTCTGTCTGTCTGTCTGTCTGTCTGTCTGTCTGTCTGTCTGTCTGTCTGTCTGTCTGTCTGTCTGTCTGTCTGTCTGTCTGTCTGTCTGTCTGTCTGTCTGTCTGTCTGTCTGTCTGTCTGTCTGTCTGTCTGTCTGTCTGTCTGTCTGTCTGTCTGTCTGTCTGTCTGTCTGTCTGTCTGTCTGTCTGTCTGTCTGTCTGTCTGTCTGTCTGTCTGTCTGTCTGTCTGTCTGTCTGTCTGTCTGTCTGTCTGTCTGTCTGTCTGTCTGTCTGTCTGTCTGTCTGTCTGTCTGTCTGTCTGTCTGTCTGTCTGTCTGTCTGTCTGTCTGTCTGTCTGTCTGTCTGTCTGTCTGTCTGTCTGTCTGTCTGTCTGTCTGTCTGTCTGTCTGTCTGTCTGACCCTTATAGACTCGGAAACTACTGAACCGATTGGCGTGAAAATTTGTATACAGGGGTTTTTAAGGCCGTGGAAGGTTCTTATGATGGTTTGAGACCCCTACCCCTTCTGTAAGGGGGGGATCCGATACAAATGAAACAGAACCAAATTTGACAGGTGGAGGTCATAGGGGGTAGCCCCTTAGATAAGAGAGGGGGAGGGAGGGCTACGTACAATATAGCATGCTTTTTTTTTAATCGGCGCATAAACTTGAGCTAATATCGAATCTCAAGCAAGGCCGGGCACACTCAGCTAGTCTTCGTATATTTTCCAGACGACTCCGTGGGCAAATTCAGAGAGATCCTAATTGGTAATTTTGAAAACTAACAGCCCACAATAACATTCATTCAAATATATTCTAGACCTACTGTCTACGAAGGACCTTACCCCAGTCGTCCTCCAGAAGAAATCCCAAGAAAATAACAAAAGGAATTCCAGAAACAATATTATGGCAATTTCAGATGTGACACCAAAAGTAGTAAAACAAAAACGATTTAAAATAAAATTAAAAAATTTCTGAGGAAATTCCAAACGGTTTTCAAATGGAATTCCAAAAATTGAAAATTTGCAGGTAAATTCCCATAGAAATTTCCATATTATAATATCAAGAGAATTTCGGAAGCAATTCCAAGAAAATGTCAGAACAAGTTTCAACGGATTCCCGGAAGCATTTCCAAACAAATTCCAGAAAAAATCCAAGCGAATACCAGATGGAAGATTTTTAGGGAATTCTGGGGCAAAAATAGCATAAGAATTACAGAAAAAAAATCGAAAGGATTGCAGAAGAAATTTCATGAAAAATTGACAGAACGAAATTTAAGGGAAGATCAGAAGTAATAGCGAAGCAAAGTTCAAAGTGAATTCCAAAATAAATTCTAGGCGGATTTCAAAGGGAATTTCAAAAGAATTCAAACACAAAAATCCAAAATGGAATCTCAACCAAACACCAGAAAGAAAGCCGAATGGAATTGTCTGTCTGTCTGTCTGTCTGT